TAATATGCTGTCTAGGTTTGCCATAGCTTTCCTCCCAAGGAGTAAGCATCTTTTAATTTCATGGCTGCAGTCTCCGTCTGCGGTGATCTTGGAGCCCAAATAAATAAAGTCTGTTACTGCTTCCATTTCTCTATTTGCTAGGAATTGATGGGTCCAGATGCCATGATCTTAGTTTTTTTAATATTGAGTTTCAAGCCACCTTTTGCACTCTCCTCTTTCACCCTCAAGAGCATAGGAGAGTACCATACCTAACAGAATATTTAAGTTTATTTTTATTTATTTTATTTTATATTTCAAATTTGGATACCGCCCATCTCACGAGAAAGAACTCTGGGCGCTTTACAATAAAAACAACAAATAAATATTAATTAGAATACAATAAAAATAGTATAAAATACAATAAAACCAAATACATACATAAATAGTAATATCTTCCAAGATGCTGCTGATAGAAAAGATGTTAACGTATGGGAACATCTTCAAGGTGCTAGCCACCCCCAGAGTTGGTTGCCCCATGCAAATTGGCAGAGCCAGGTCTTATCTGCTTTCCGGAAGGTCGAGAGAGTAGGGGCCTGCCTCACCTCTGGGGGGAGGATATTCCATAGGGTGGGGGCCACGGCAGAGAAGGCTCTCCTCCTGGGCCCCGCCAGCCGACATTCTGTCATTGCCTTTCGGTGGGCAACAGCCACCTCCATTCTCACTTCCTTACTCGCATTAAAGAGGATAATACAAGAAATGATTGTGTAAATTGCATTTTGGGTGCAGTGTAGGTCTTTGACCTAAGACACAGTACTGCATGATGATCTAGACCAGTGTTTCTCAACCTTGGCCACTTGAAGATGGGTGGACTTCAGCCAGCAATTCTGGGAGTTGAAGTCCACCCATCTTCAAGTGGCCAAGGTTGAGAAACACTGATCTAGACCATGCAATTTATAGCAGTCGTGATATACAGTGATCTAGGAAGTCCTAAAGGAATTCATCATTTGATTCTTCATCAGTTATCACTACAATGCCAACTCCTTCAGCAGATTAAGTGTACAGTTTCTGTTACTTGTATTTTGTTCTTGTTGCCACCTTGCAATTCAGCAAAATACTTGAGGATAATCATAGTTTTATTTCCCTTGAAAACACAACTATATAGAAATTAATGATTTGATGGGACAATGATCTAACACTGCAACATTTAACCCATTTTTAACGTTTTTTATTGTATACTCCAAAAACTAATGCTGTCAAACTGGAAAAGGTGTAGAAATGGACAACAGAACTTACCATGATTTAGAGCAATTCCCATGTAATGAAAGATTCAAATGTTTACAACTTTTTGTCTTAGAAAAACGACCCGTAGGTAGGCTTCCATTGCATAATAGTTGTATATAAAATTATATATGTGGTGGGTAACATGTAAAGAGAAAAGTTTAACTCCTTCTCTTATAATGCTAGCATCCAGAATCATCTAGGAAAGCTGAATGTCAGAATATCTAGGAAAGGTAAAAGTAAATACTGTGAAATCCATTGTTATCCACCTAGAGAGCTTTTAATAGGGAAATAGAGAAATTCATGGTAGGTAATGCACTAGCTGCTCTTTAGTTTATTTATTTATTTGATTTGTATGGCCACTCATCTCACCTAAGTGACTCTGGGCGGCTCACAACAGTTAAAACAACAATCCAATAAAAAAGTTAAAAACCAGTATGGAAACATATAAAACATCAAAAACCATTTCAAAAACAAAAATAACCATGGTCAGTGGCCACAGGCCATCCTTGCACCAAGCTCAAGAAAGCCAGTGTAGAAACCAGTCCCCCAAGCATGGTGGCAGAGCCATGTCTTCAGGGCCTTCCTAAAGGCTGGCAAGCTCAGGGCCAATCTAAGTTCCAGGAAAGCAGTGTTCCAAAAGGTGAGCACCATAGCAGAAAAGTCTCTCTTCCTGGGTCCCGCCAGGTGACACTCTTTCGAAGACAGGACCCATAACATGCCTCTCCTGCCAGTCCTTATGGGATGGGTAGATGTAACTGTCGAGAGGCAGTCCCTCAAATAACCCAGTCCCATGCCAGTTGTGATAGGTATTTATTTATTTATACCACCAGTATCAGAAGCACAATGCCTCTGAATACCCCCTAACCCTAACCCCCCCACCCCCCCAATCCCCCCCTTCAGATCTCTATAAATACCCACAAAAGGGTCACATCATCCTGGGCACAGAG